TGACAGGCAACTTAATCATACATGTTTTATCTGATGATCGACTTCAAAGTCCTAAATAAGACAAAGATACCCCATGTGAGTTACAAATGGATGGTTACATGAAATATGAAGCACTTCCTCTTCTCCAACAAATACAACAAAACATCAAATGTTATATATGATACCTAGACTGCCATACAAATCTAAAGAATTAAACACAAGACGGACAAAAGTATGTTCCTTTGCAGAAGTAGCCAGAAACAACCAGATACAGAAGAATAGAACAGAACAATTCCAGCACTATACTACTACCTTCATTCTCTTAACTCCTGAATGTTAGTGGTCTATCTTTGATTACCTTTCCCCACATTTTACCCAATCTGGGCACTTTCAGCCACAACTTTGAACCAGCAACTAACTACAGATGAGGAATTTCAATTCTCTACCTCCAGCCACAATCTCTCTCCTAAGTATGAGACTAATATATACCTCAGAACATCTCCATTTGACTGTCCCACCAGGATGCTTACCACAAAATACACTATACTGTACTCATTCTTCACCTGCTTCTTCTAAATACCTAGTCTGGTTACTGGTATTATGTTCTTAAAACAGAGAGTTTTCCATTCTATTTCCTCCCTTTTCACTAATCCTCTGTGGGTCCTCGAGTTAAGTCCCATTCTACCTTATAAAAGATAACACATCCATACCCTGTGCTCTCAACACCTATAACATCTCTACTACATCTCTCCTAACAGTTCCCCCTACCTTCAATTTGACTCATTCTTCAATCATTCCTTTATATTGCTGCTAAAGTGATCTTTCTAGAATATAATTTGAATCATTTCACCACTGCTTAAAATCTTTCAATGATTCCAAATAAAAACCTAAAATCCTTAGCAGAATATCCTGTCTCTTGCCACCTCTCTAGCTTTATCTCTTCCTAATCTCTCACTTAAGACACTAAATTTTAAACACATCACTGAAGATCCTGGAAAAAGTCATACTGTTTCTTACTTCAATACCTCTGCATGTTACTCCTGCTACCTAGAAAGTCTTTTTCATGACATGGTAACTTTGACTTGCTCAAGGCTCAGCTCAGACATTGTATGTGGCCCTCAACTTCCTCCATTCTCTACCTGCTCCCATCGCATTTAACAGACACATTCATACTGTATTATAACTGTCTAATATATGCTACTAAATTTTGGGCACCGTGAAAGTAAAATACAATTATTATTCATTTTTGTGTCCCATAATGCCTAGAACTTTGCCTGGCAATAATAAGTGATCAATAACTACTTACAGAATGTGTAAGCCATTTGGCTTTTTCCAGAAACAAGTTCTACTATAAACATCCCCCAACAGACACAGAGCAAAGCAGCTCCTTAAGAAAAGCAAAAGAAACCAGGCAAGAAAGCAGGAGACATAAACAAATGGGGCAGAAAAGGAAAAATTAAACGCACGGAGTCTCTTCAGAATGGCTCCTGAGAGCTCACTGTTTTTTACCCTTCATCTCAGGTTCTATCACAAACATGTTTTACTTGCTATTTAATCTTCAATGCTTATTCTAATTTCCCAGAAAATAAGTGGCAAGAAGTTCTTCTCTCCACAACTGGGCAGGCAAAGAAAAAAAAAAATGGAAAGTATTACCTAAATCAGCTATTCTTCAAAACAGCAGTTAGAAGTTTAAATATGCCATAATAAATAAGACCCCTGATCTACCCAGACCCAATTTCACTTCTAACAGTTGCCTCCTAAAAGACTTAAGATTACAATAAATATTTTACCCAACCAGATATCAAACATTCTCCTTCAAATATTCCCAACATCTCTTTCTGAACCTACATTTTTTTCTCTTATGGTAAAGTACTATATAAATTCAGTATTTACTCTGTAAATAAGCATATATATATTTTTATCCTTAAGATAAAATGAAATACTTTTCTCCTACCTTCCCCTAAGTGGTCATGGAACAGAAACTTCCCCAGCTGAATTCCCTCTATCATTTGCCATGGTTTTCCATGATTACAAATGAAAAGAACAGAGAACTTTCCTCCTAATGCTGGGGCCTCTAAGATGCCTTAGCTTTCCCTTCTCTTTTCTCCAGTGGGACCTATACCTAAGTTTGCCCCGTAACGTAAAACAAATTCAGAATCCATTCTAGTCCGTAAGTAATTTTAGAAGTGAGAGAGTATCAAAACCCAAAGTCCACAAAGCACAGGAAGTCCACAACTGTGTTACTCTCAATTAGCTTGACAGAAACATAAGCATCAAGCTAGTAATACTCATGTGTGCCAAATATGTAATCATCATTAACCAAAACAACAGAAATCCAGGCCATAACTAGTCGCAACATGTATAACACAATCATAAATTAGATGTGTTGAAGAACACGTAGCAGGGAAAAGCCCAGAAGACTGAAGATATCACTTTCCAGTATCACTGCCCTAGCCAACATGTTCTCCCCTCCAAGTCATTAGAATCTTCTCTATCATTCATCCTTGAAAAAGAGAAACTACTCTCTTGGCAGAATCCACACCACCACTTCCAACTCCAGGCTTAGACTGAGCTGCCTTGCAACTGTGAGAATTGTTACTTTATCCAAATAGTTACATTACTAGGTTTAAACTAAACTTTACCCAGCTGCTAACTCATTAATTACAGAGCCCTAGCCCCACGGAATACACTTTTCATTCCAAAAAATAAGTGGAAATGTTAGATCAATAATGGGGAAGAAGGGACAAGGTTTACCTATTGAAACTTTCCAGTAAATAAATTCAAAAGGAATGAGGGAATAGAAAATCACCATGAGAACACAATAGCAAGATCCATCAATGATGCTAAACTAGTTGGCAAAATTTGAGAAACAAAATATTTGCATAGTTTCAGAGTATCTCCTCAAAATATATACTAATTTCAAAAAGGAAAATAGTCACTTTACAGTGGAGAAACTTAACCAAGTGATCACAGTTAACATCATGAGTAGTAAGTCATATTGATATCATGTGCCCTCTGATACGTGTTGAGAAAAACTCATCACCCTTGTATCCTTCCCACTAATGCACAACATCAATCTAATCATGAGAAAAAAAAATCAAAAAATCCAAATTGATAGTCTACAAAATAATTTACCAATACTTTCAAAAAGTGTCAAACACATGAAAGATAAGATTAAAGAACTGTCATAGACTAGAGAAAATTAAGGGGACAGGATGACTAAATGCAATGTAGGATCCTGAATTGGATCCTGCAACAGAATAAGAACATTAGTGGATATACTGGCAAAATGTGAATAAAGCTTGTAGTTAACATCACTACAGCAATGTTAATTTCTTTTTTATGTCAATTTCTTATTTTTGGTAACTGCACCATGGTTATGTACCATGTTAACATTTGGGGAAGCTGGATGTAGGATGTATGGGGGGAACTCAGTACTGTCTCTGTAACTCTTCTGTATGTCTAAAATTATTTAATTAAAAAAAAAAAGCTGAATTCCTGATACCAAGCCTCCTCGGTCAATCAACACATTTACCTGGTTGTTTTTTTATGCATCTCTCTCCTCCAGCGTATTATCAATTTATTCTGAGTTTCTACTCTTGCTAAAGCTTCCAAGTTCTTACACTTTAGGAACTCTCAAGGTGCCCTTATTTCTTCTCAAACAGAGCTAGAGACCCTCCTTCTTGTCCTGCCACAAACTGACCTGGCTTAAAAGATGTCACTTAAACACTCTAACTTCTTACAGATTCACTGCAATTAGCAATTTACAAAGCGCTTTTAAATGAATTTACATACACTAATTTAGAGGTGCATAAATACTGTTATTATTTCACAGATTAGAAAATAAGACTAGGAAAAATTAAGTGATACGACATTTAAAAAATTCCAGAATCTGATTTTGAATCCAGTTCTTCTAGCTCTAAAACTAACTTACCAAATATTAAAAGAAAGCAATCTGCACTTAAGATTCAACTTCCCTGGCTCCATAGAGGCTACTTGGCGCTAACACACGATTTTAAAGTTCTAAATTTCAAGATTGTCTTAAATAACCCTCTTGCAAGCTACAATCAAGAATTCTAAGATTCAGTAAAAAAGATGTGTTCACCCTAACCATAAACTTTATAATTTAAAAAAAAGTCTAGCCATTAATTTTTTAGGCTTTCCAATAATCGCTTACCTCTGTTCTTTTACCGACACTGGTTCACGCTTTCAAATACCTGAGATGTCGCTCTAATTTCCAATTCCATTCATATCTTAATATTTGCAAATCATAACTAAGAGCAATGCTGCTAGGCCCCCAACCCCACGAAATACTCTAAATATCTTTTTCCCTCACTCAAAAAAAAAGGGGGGGGGGGAGTGGGTAGTCAAAGGGCTAATCCCTAATGCATGTGTCTGAGATTTAGTGCAACGAGACAGAGCAATGTAACTAAATAACGGAACCTGAGACTCCGGAGAAACCCAATTTTCACCTGACTTAACTCAGCATTTTTCTCCTCCACCGCTTGTGGTCGTATCCGATATCTGCCTCGGTCAACTGAGACCATTAAGACCCAAGAAAGAGCACGGAAATTTAAAAAACAGTAATTATGGAAACAATCTAAGTCTGAAAACTAGGTAATGAGAAAACCATTAACTTATTAACAGGCGCTTGCTACATGCAAGGCACTGGAGGGGCAAAAAGCTACTTGAGGTTATTTACTCAATTTTGTAACCTCCCATCCTCACCCCTCCGGCGCCTGGCACGCGCAGGAGCGCAAAAGGATGAATTGTATGAGAGACGCCGAGGTAACGGGATCAGCTCCAGCCCGGAACCGGTGGGAGAAACAGACCGGCTCGGGATGTAACTCTGGGAAGTACTGTTTGAACAGCTTTGCGCTGTTTAATTCAAACGGAACAGGCTGCCGCTGTTGGATTCTGCGTGGCGCCCGGGGAAACCAGCAGGGACAGGCTGTCTCTCACAGGGACAAACAGGGACACCTCTGAGGGTCTGGGGCGAAGAAAAGGTGGCATTCACTTGCCTCCCATTCCTGCAAGAAACGCTGGGCCTCGTCAGAACCAACGGTCTTATGTCTCCTAAATTCGTCCTTCACGTATTGGTCGCCAAGGGCTTTGAGGTCTGCGGGCAGAGCCCGGTGCAACAGCAAGATGCGCCGATACAAGGCCCGGACCCGCGAGACGTGCCGGGCCGGCATAGCCGCGCGCGTGGACCGCACACCGCGCCTGCGCAAAGGAACGAAGCGTGCCCACCGCGGTGAGAAGCCGGGTATTAGTAAACCGGAACACGAGCGGAAGAGGGCGCGCGACCTTCATCCGGTTTGGTCCGCTCTAAAATCAGGACCTTCCGGAAACCGGGCTGCTGTGGCTGACGCGAAAATGGGCGGGCTCTTGCCTGGAGGGGGCGTGGCCTTGGTGGAGATGGGCCTGCGGTCCGGCCCTACTGCTAAAGCCAAACTTGTCCCAGTGAGAGAGGCAGCCAACCAGAGGTCTGGCGTGGGCCTTTTGTCACCCCCTCAGTCACACCACATCCTCCTTTCCATTCATCTTACCCTTCTCTCCTGATAAAGGCCTGAGAAAGCCTCCATCAAAATCGGGCTCCTCCGGAAAGTCTTCCATGGTTGGCTAGACCCACTTCAGGTGTCTCACAGTGTTCCTGTGTTCTCGAGAGGGATCAGAGTGGGATTAGGATTCATCTCTCCATTCAGGAGCACCTACCCACGTACTTTGCACAGTGCTGTGCTCCTAATTTGTACCCTGAAGGTGCAGCCTCTTTCATATAACTCACGTGAGCTGTGAGCCAGCAGGTTTTTTTTTTTTTAATTATGTTAATCACCATACATTACATCATTAGTTTTGATGTAGTGTTCCATGATTCATTGTTTGCATATAAGACCCAGTGCTCCATGCAGAACGTGCCCTCTTTAATACCCATCACCAGGCTAACCTATCCTCCCACCCCCCTCCCCTCTAGAACCCTAAGTTTGTTTTTCAGAGTCCATAGTCTCTCATGGTTCGTCTCCCCCTCCGATTAGTCCCCCTTCATTCTTCCCCTCCTGCTATCTTCTTCTTTTTTTTTTTTAACATAATAATGTATTATTTGCTTCAGAGGTACAGATCTGTGATTCAACAGTCTTGCACAATTCACAGTGCTCACCATAGCACATACCCTCCCCAATGTCTATCACCCAGCCGCCCCATCCCTCCCAAACTCCACCACTCCAGCAACCCTCAGTTTGTTTCCTGAGATTAAAAAAAAAAAAAAAAGAATGAAATCTTGCCATTTGCAACTACGTGGATGGAACTGGAGGGTATTATGCTGAGCGAAATAAGTCAATCAGAGAAAGACATGTATCATATGACTTCACTGATATGAGGAATTCTTAATCTCAGGAGCCAGCAGGTTTCATTAGCTCAAGTCAAATTGGCTGCAGAAGAATCATAGAGAAACATTTTATTTTTTAAAAAAGATTTATCGATTTGAGAGAGAGAGAGCAGGGGGAGGGGCAGAAGGAGAGGGAGAAAGAATCTCAAGCCTACTCCCTCTGAGTGCAGAGCCCAACACGGGTCTGATCTCACACCCTGAGATCATGACCTGGGTAGAAATCCAGAGTGGAAGGCTTAACCAACTGAGCCACTCAGGGGCCCCTAGAAACATTTTAAATGTATTGTTTCCAGGGCCACGATCCTGGAGATGCTGGTTAAATTGAGCTGAAAACATAAAATCAAGACATTTAAAAAGTTCCCACCTTTAGCAAAGGTGATACTGAGAGTGTGACTGCTTCTAAAGCTGGCAGCAACTTGGCCTCTTTCCTTCTCCCCCATCACACCTTTGGTCCTTCAGCAAATCCTGATGGCTCCACCAACAAAATATATGCAGAACTAAACCATTTCTCACCATGCTGGCAACCACAACCGTCTCTCTCTCCAGTCAACACCTCCTGATATTGTGGTAGCTTGTGTTCCTGCTTCTGGCCATGATCAACTTTGGTCATGATCCACCTAAACTGTAAATTAGATCATGTTATTCCTCTGCTCAACAAAATCCTTCAGTAAAACCCAAGGTCTCTCCACTTCTTAGTGTTCTAGATTTTCCCCTACTGCTCTCTCCCTAGTTGGTCAGTTCCAGACACACTAGTCATCTTTGAATAGGCCAGGCACACTCCCAGCTGAAGACCTCGGCACTTGCTGTTCCCTGTGCTTGGAATGCTCTGCCACAAATGTATCTTCTTGTCTAAGACCTTCATTCCACCCAGCTCCTTAACTTCAGGTCCCCTTCTAAGACCCTCCCTGGCAACTATATTTGAAATTACAACATCACCATGCCAAGAACTCCCTAAGCCCCCTCTCTGCTTTATTTTTCTCTAAAACACAAATTTTGCTTACTTGCTGATTGTCTGTCCCCCCACCCACCCACACACACCCTAGAATACAGATTCCATGAGGGCGGGCATTTTGTGATTTGTGAGGTGTCAAATGACTCAGATGACCTGCTGGTGATGAAGGGGCAAGAGTATAAGAATTCATGTGCTTCCCTCACAAACTTTTTTCTGTGCAAAGACTTTTTGAAAGACAAAGAAGACACACACCCTGCTAGCAAGGGCAGGGACTTATTCATTTTAGTGTTCTTTTCAGGGCCCACCACAGTGCCCGAAAAATAGTAAGTACTCTAATATTGATTACCTTGAATAGACTTTTTCCTTCTGCTTAAAATTTAGAAAAAATATTTGTTTAAAAGAGCAAAGAACATTTTTTAAAAATGGATTTAATTTGGTATTATGACAAACCACATTAATGGCAAGAATTGAATGGTAGTGTGGTTATTTTACTTCAGGAAATTTTTTTTAACCATACTTCATCTGTTAATATCCCTATAAATTGAAAATTAATTTCTTGTTCCAGTTTACTTTTTTTCTGGTTTCCTTTGGGGCTAAATTACATGTATAATAAATACTTCTTTCAGAGCCAAAGCTCTTATAAAAATGTGGAAAAAACATTCTGCCAATGAATTAATAAAAAAATAACAATAAAAGACTTAATTCAGCCTAAAGGGAGCAGAAAAGGTCCACAGAACATTGGGCAATCAATACTCAGAAATGTCAAATGATGGGTGAGAGAGAAGCCAAGACATAGCGGTTAGGCCTTGGGAAGAGGAATCAAGTAATAACATCTATAATGATAGATGGCCTTTATTTATTTATTTATTTTTACAATGAGCTGGACAGTGAGGTATGTTTTGAGGACAAAATTTTCTCTGATTCCTTGACCTTCCAATTTAGGCTGACCAGTTTTCCTCTTGTGGTCAAAATAGCCATGAATTGAAAATAACATCTGAGTTATATTCCTGGCCATTAATCTGGATCTGTACACTTCATGTAGGCTTTTCCTTTATTCCTTTATCTTTCCTCCATGTGTTTCTTTTTCCTGTGTGTTATTAAGCAAGTCACTCAACCACTCTATGCCTGGATTGTCTAACACGCCAAACGCTGGGTTAGGTAATTTCAGTACCTTCTACTTCTACTAATCTAATCATGATTTCTCCCAGATTCCCTCCAAAATTTTTTGTAAAAATAGCAGACACATATACACTCTGAAATAATTGCTTTGAAAATTCTTTTTTTTTTTTTTTTTTTAAAGTAGGCTCCACACCCAACTGGAGCCCAGTGCAGGGCTCAAACTCTTGATGGTGAGATCAAGACCTGAGCTGAGATCAAGAGTCAGCTGTGGAGGGCCTGGGTGGCTCAATCGGTTAAGCATCTGCCTTTGGCCCAGGTCATGATCCCGGGGTCCTGGGCTCGAGCCCCGCATCAGGCTCCCTGCTCAGTGGGAAGCCTGCTTCTCTCTCTCTCTCTCTCTTAAATAAATAAAATCTTTAAAAAAAAAAAAAAAAAAGAGCCAGGCACCCCTGCTCTGAAAGGACTTTTAAGAGAAAGGGGAAACTCCTCCAAACTCTGTGTGGAACACATCATGTAAGCCTTTCAGGGCTCACAAAACATAAGCACCACAATATACTCATACCCATAACGAAGATCAATGTAGCAATTGCTCTACGCAGTGTGGTACCTGTACAGACCAATTCCCACACAGACAGACATAGAAGGGGCTGCCAGGGAAGTTTTTTGACAAGCAGATAGAGAACTTTGAGGTCAAAGGAGATAGAGAAAAATCAGTGAGGAAGAAAAAATAAACTGGAAAAAAAAAAAAAAAGGGTTCTACTTTTAAGTAATCTCTACACCCAATGTGGGGTTTGAACCCACAACCCCAAGAACAAGAGTCACATGCTCTTCCGACTGAGCCAGCCGGGTGCCCCAAACATTTACATTTCCTAATTATATGTATTAGGATATAGCTTTATATTACTTGTGTCGCTGGATTTTTTTTTTTTTTTTTAGCTTTTAATTGTGCACTTACATGCATCAGAAAAAGCTATTCAGTTTTTTTCTAGTGATCAATAAAAAATGTACTAAAAATTTTTTTTTAATTTTTAATTTAAAAAAAGAAAAAGTAAACTGAAAGAAAAAGACAGGAAACACCTGTGTGGAGCATACTGCATTGTTACTTTGTATTATGCTCTAGTGTTTACATTAAGTATGAAAATAATCCTTACCTGCGAATAAGGTTAAAGTCTTGTCCTCTACAGCGGAATGAGAGAGGGCTGGTGAATGGGAGAGGCTGGTGGTGAAAGATCTGGAAACTGCTCTATGTTATTAGGCATTTGGTTGCATAAGTGGCTCATTTTTGAACTTACAGCTACTAAATTCCAAATTTTCAATCTGTGAGAATTATGAAAAGGTAAATGCCTGGAACAAGATATATCTTTGACTCAAACAACCTTCACATGCTCTCCAGGCCTGGAGAGATGAATAAGCTGGATTTAACCACAGTCAGTACCTACAGTCTGCCAAACAATACCACTGATGGTCTTTCATCTTCCACTTTATCTTGGAGTCCTAAATAGGAACATCACTACGTTGAGGTGAAAATGTAAGAGGAAGGACTTCTTTAAACATTTTTACTTGGTGTCTGAGTATCTCTACCTACTGAAATGCAATAGTAAGGAAGCAGATCTTCTTGAAAGTCAAAATTTCAAGCTTAAACATAACAGTTCAAAGAATGGGAGAAGCAAATAAATTCATGGAGAGTCTGTTCTTTGAAAGTCACTTTGGAAAACATATTAGTCTTCCTTTAGTATATTCCTAAGTTTTTGAAATATGTTACATAAGAAATATCAAAGAGGCACTAAATGTGTTCATACCTGTACAGAAAGATCTAACTATAAGGAATGTTTTAGATGTTTAT